AATAATACATCATCCATATAGTGAAATATTTGTAGTTCAGGATTTTGATTTCTAAGTGGCTGGATTACTTTGTTAACGTAAATTTGACACATAGTTGGGCTGTTAGCCATCCCTTGAGGGAGTACTTTCCATTCATATCTCTGATCAGGACCTTCATGATTCAGTGCAGGGATAGTAAATGCAAAACGTGGACTATCCTCAGGATGAATTGGAATTGAAAAAAAACAATCTTTAATATCTATAACTAAAACATACCAGGTTTTTGGCAAAGCAGACAACTGAGGAATCCCTGATTGAGCAGGTCCCATAATAACCATCTCATTATTAATGGCTCTTAAATCTTGCAATAATCTCCATTTACCAGATTTCTTTTTGATGACAAAAATGGGAGTATTATGGGGAGATACAGAAGGTTGTATATGTCCTTCTGCTAATTGTTGTTTGACCAGGTCATGGGCTGCTTGTATCTTTTCTTTAGTCAGGGGCCACTGAGGAACCCATACTGGTCTTTCTGATTTCCAAGTAATTTTTATTGTCTCAGTGGCCCTTTCTGAAAATCCAACCCATGTCTTTCTGTTCCTTGATCTATTTGTATTGGTGCTGCTATACCTTGTTCTTGTTTTTCTAATCTTTTTCCTTTCCTAAAACCTTGTCTAGTCATAATAGTGGGTGCATTTTGGTTGATGTTATTTGTTAATGTCAAACCTAATTGATCTAGGACATCTCGTCCCCATAAATTTACGGGAAGATGATCCAATACATATGGCTGTATAGTTCCTTCACATCCTTCAGGATCCTTCCAATCTAATACCATTGCACTTCTATGGGGATTAGTTGCCACTCCTAGGCCTCGAAGCGTTTGAGTGGCTTGTTGTAATGGCCAATGTTTTGGCCATTCTTGACGAGAGATGATGCTAAGGTCTGCACCTGTATCCAGTAGCCCATTAAATTCATGTCCTTGAATATTTAGTTTTAGCATGGGGCGAGAATCTAAATTTAAAGAAAGCATAGCCCAATCTACACCTGTGGAGCCTAATCCCTTGGAACCTCTTTCTACAGTACGACTGGAAAATTTATCATGTAGGCTGGGTATTATTAGTAACTGTGCTATTCTATCTCCTGGTGAAATTACTGATATACCCTTTGGAGAACTGGCTATAATTTTTATTTCACCTTCATAATCGGGATCAATTACCCCAGGACTTATCATAAGTCCTTTTAGAGTAGAAGAGCTGCGTCCCAATAATAAGCCTACTGTTCCTTTGGGAAGAGGTCCTTTCACCCCTGTGGGAATGATTTGAACTCCCATCTCTGGAGTTAGTACTGCTCTGGCGGAGGCGCAGATGTCCAACCCTGCGCTCCCTCTGGTTTGTCTGATGAGGGATCTGATGGACAATGTGTCCTGGGCACTACCCTGATGGGGTTGCTGGGTTCCTCCAGTGCTCCGTATATTTGTGGTTTTGGGCCCCGGAGCATTGGGCCCCCCTGTCCATTTTTTGGCAATGGAGCCCGATGCCTTTCTCCACGATATCGTGGATAAACACCTGGTCCTTGTTCGTTTTTTGATAATGGAGTACCCTCTATGGTGGTTTGAGAACGGCATTCATTAGCCCAATGTCTCCCTCTACGGCATCGTGGGCAAATACCTGGTATTCTACTCCTTTGATACCTAGTTTTGTTAAACCCTCCTCCAATGGGGCAATTCCTTTTAAAATGTCCTGTTTGTTCACAATTGTAGCATGTTCTTGGCCTGGCATCTAAAGCCTGTTTTACTGCAGCTGCCACAATTTGCCCTTGTTCATTAATGTCTCTGGCATCTAAAGCCTGTTTTACTGCAGCTGCCACGACTTGCTCTTGTTCATTAATGTCTCTACATAATTTAATATATGTGTTTAAATCTTCATGTTTCCATGGTCTAATGATATCTCTGCACCAACCATTCGCTTGCTCATAAGCCAGGTGTTTTAGTAATGGCATTGCTTGTTCTGTATTCCCAAAAACTCTGGTAGCTGTTTGAATAAGCCTATCTACAAATTCAGCATAAGGTTCATTAGCTCCTTGTATTACCTTAGATAATTGACCTTGTAAACCTCCATGTCCTTGTAAAGTCTTCCATGCCTTAATTGCATCTGCAGCAATTTGTGCGTATACGCCAGGAGCATATGCAATTTGTTGCTGCTGATCCTCATAAGGTCCCTTTCCTAACAACATATCTAGATTTCTCTGAGGATAACCAGCTGCTGCATTTCGCCTAGCCGTCTCCTTGCAAAATTCCTCATTGGCAACCTTCCATAACAGGTATTGTCCTCCATTTAGCACAGCTTTACACATATTAGCCCAATCTGCTGGCGTCATGTTCAAGTTGTTAATGGATTCGACCATGCTTACAGTGAAGGGTGCTTGAGGACCATAGGTTGTTACAGCCTCTTTTAGCTGTTTCACTGTTTTGAAATTTAAAACTTGGTAAAATCGCTGCCCTCCTGCCTCAAATACAGGGCATGTTAATATTTGAGATCTTGTCTCAGGATCCCAACTATCAACTGCGGGGGTTGGGGGCCTCCCAGCATATGGAGGTGGCGCTGTTGGTTGGACACTTACGTCCTCTGGTGATAGAAAGGTGTTAGTAGCAGTCTCCTGTTGTAACTTTCCCCCTGATGGCTTTTTCTGTTTTACACTTTCTTTCTCTGTCTGACTAGCTTGAGAGGCCTTCTCTTTTACTTGAATGTTTTCCTCTGTCTGACTAACTTGAGAGACCTTCTCTTTTACTTGAATCATTATGTCTTCTCCTTTCTCTACCATTGTCTGAACTGAAGGCTTTGGACTAAGCAAACAAGATATGAACGTCCACAATGGCAATGTGCCATCTGGCAGAGTCCCTGGGCTTTTCTTTTCTATTCTTTTTAAATCTTCACCATGATGGTTCCATTGTGATATATTTAACAACTCCTCCTTAAAAAGCCATGGGCTACATTTTTGTATTGTATCAACGTATGCCCTGATTGTTCTTGATTTTACTGAGATGCCTCCTTCCTCTAACAATTTACTTAACACTCTTTCAGTTTGTTTTTTACTAATTTCTGATCCCGTATTTCTACTATAATACAACCCAACAAGATGACGCCAAACAAAACCGAGACAGAATGAAATAAAAAGGGAACAACAAAAAGTCATTATAGCCTTTCTATCCTCCTGACATGGGCATCCGTCCTTTCTCCCTATCTGTTCCTCAGACGTAAATAGTTTTTCCTCAGATGTGAGCGGTTTTTCTTCCGTCTCACTCATCTCCAGGGACAGGCAACTTAAAACAAAAGTGAAGCAAAATAAAAGAGGAATCTTAAAATGGCTACCCATCCTCTCGCCCTGCCCTCAGGGGCGAGCAGTTTCACTTACCCTCAGTCGCTCCCCGTACGGGCCACCAAATGCCGCAGTCTGGCTGGGCACAATCAGGAGCCACTTGTCAAAAGAAACTAACTTTATTTTTAGAACCACACACGCCAAACAAAATAGCCTCTCAGGAAAAACCCTCAGAGCCTCAACTGCCAACACCGGCTTTTCACAAGCCTCTCTCTCCCACACCAGCTTCTCTCCACCTCCCAAAATCCTCCTGCTCTTGAGGCCGATTGGCTGGGTCACGTGGGCGGAGCCAAAAAAGTCCCCCAATGAGCAGCTCTGTGGTCTGAAAGGGCAGGGAAACAGTCCAATGAGCATCACCGCAGAGGAGCCAATCAGCTAGATGTTGCTGGGGCCGAGGAGCCAATCAGCTAGATGTTGCTGGGGCCGCTGTGAGCCAATCATCAGCCGGCAGCTGGAAGTTTGCTGGCAGCTGGAAGTTTGCTGGGGCCCCTTCGGCTGTGGCTCTCAACAGTTTGTTTATTTTTTTTGTAGTTGTAGATGGACAGAATGCCATTATTTTATTTGTGTTTTATTTATATGTGGTGTTGAGGATCGAATCCAGTGTCTCACGCACGCTAGGCAAGCGCTTTGCCACTGAGCTACATACAGCCTGAGCCCTGGGGTGGTATTCTTTAAAAGAATTTTTAAAATGGCATGCCCTTAGCATTTTAGTAGCAATCTAATATTAAATGTCTAATTTGTATCTTACTTGTAAAAACCTGCAAAGGATTTGATTTCTGACATATGTGTATATGACCCTTCAAATAAAAACAGTAACATTGTTCTTTGTAATCCAGTGGAATATAAACATAGTGATTTGATTCTCTTTTCTATCCATTCAAAAATATATAAACAGAAAACACTCTTTGTCCTACAGACATTGTGTAAGGTTATTTTCTCCATGAAATTGGGCAACCCTGCCCCTACTGGTGGCCTAGGAAACAGTATTACTGTACCTTTCAGCTCCACCTGTGCCAGTCCCACCCTCCTCACTTCACCATGCAAAGTAAAAACCGCCTTGAGTTTTTCATAACTTTAGAACAAATTACATCCTTAAATGACAGTTTTGTCTATTTTTAGAAATCTACTCTTGGAAAGTAAGTATTCTCTCTTAGGTTCTTTGGTTACTTGTGATTTCTTTTCAGTATTGCTTTTGAAGTTCATTTCTCTTGATGCAAGTAGCTGTAGTAACTCATAGTTATTTTGTTCTATAATATTTATCAGCCAGACTCTGTGGCGCACGCCTGTAATCCCAGTGGCTTGGGAGGCTAAGGCAGGAGGATTGTGAGTTCAAAGCCAGCCTCAGCAAAAGTGAGGTGCTAAGTAACTCAGTGAGACCCTGTCTCTAAATGAAATACAAAATAGGGCTGGGGATGTGGCTGGGGCAGTGGTTGAGTGCCCCTGAGTTGAATCCCTGGTACCCGCCCCCCTCAAAAAAATTAAATTGTATTGATATCCAGCTTGTTTTTTTATTATATTGATACTGTCTGTTTTCTGTTGATTCACCGAATAATTTATAAAGAAGAAAAGTTCGTTCAGCTCACAGATCTAGAGGCTAGAAAGTAGAAGGGCCTTGCCTGGTGGGGGCCTTCTTGCTGGCGGGAACTATGGAGTTGTGTGGTGGTGCCAGGTGTCCTGTGGAAAGAGTGCTAAAAGAGAGCGCGAAGCTGGCTTTTAAAGCAGTCTCGCTGTTGGATGACCCGTTCACCCATGAGTGGGTTCCTCCGTTCACAGGGGCAGAGTGGCAAGGCCCAGTCATCCCTTAGAAGCCCACTGGAGCCCACTTGACGCAAGGGCATTAACCGGCACTGGAGTTTGAGGAGGATAGTCAAACCCGCAGTACTCTTTCTAGTCTGCTCTGGCTGTGAATACTCATGCGTTTCTTTGATACAATCAGAGCTGGAACTGGTGCCCAGAGGCAGGACCGAAGCTTTTCAGGTCCTCCCCCTCCTTTTCCCTCGGTTTTCATCAGTGAGCGGCATGCCCCTGTGGAGTTGTTCTTGCCTATTGTTCTCTTGGGTGATCGCTTTTCTTATTTTTTAAAGGAGGTCTGGGAGTTCTGTTACAGCAGTGTAGACGTGTGCTAATTTCCTCTCTCAGAAAATATATTCACCAACAAATGCATTAGTAACTGTGTATCATAGGTACAACTTTAAATTAATCTTTCACTTTGCTTAGGGTGGCTTTTAGTAAAGTGGCATCCTTTATTTATTTTGAATTTATCAATATTTTTATATATAGCTTATCCTCTCTCTGTATTGTTTTAATAATTTTTTCCTAAGTTGAGATTTTATGAATAGTTTTCCTGTAATTCAAACTTAAAAAAATCTTTCAACTTTTATAGTTATGTTTATTAATTTATTAGAAATTGAGTTTCAAATATAGTCTTAGTTTAAAATATTTTAGTTTATTAAAAAGTTTTTTGGATTTGTACGTTTTTAAAAAGTAATGTGCCATTAAAACAAAATAGAAATACAACAAAAGTTAAGTTCTCCTTCTACTTCTGATTTCCATTTTCTGTTCTCTGTTAAGAAGAGAAGAACTGTGCTTTTTACTTCTAAAAGAGGCGAAAACTTTGTCCTTGGGTTCCTGCTAATCATTTAATCTTGTGATTCTCTTGGCCATACTTTACCGATTTAAAGAGAATATTATACTCTTAGAAAGGAGGAGATTTTTAGGGTGCTTTTTTTCCTACTTGGTGTTCATGATATCATTTTTGACCTGCCGGTCAGTGTGATTTCCTGAACTGAGTTGGTTGACTTGGAGGTGGCTGGTCCTGTGCACAGCTCTGGGTGCCTGGGTGGGGGAGGCGGAAGTCACCCCTCCTTGAGGAGCTTTGGAGTCCTGCAGTAAGTGCTTCCTGGTGCAGATGCATGTTGTGATCTGTGCTGCTGTGATTCTCCACACCTTCCAGGGGTCCTGCCAGAGCAAGAACCATGGCTTATTTTGGAGAAGGGAAAGGGCCCATCCACATGGACAACGTGAGGTGCACGGGCACAGAGAGGACCTTGGCCAACTGTGTCAAGCGAGACTTCGGGAGACACAACTGTCGACATGGCGAAGACGCAGGGGTTATTTGTGATTACTCTGGCACGAAGACCTCGGGCAGCAGTAGTACAGGTGAGTTTCCTCCTGGGACCCAGAGAGTCCAGTGCCCAGTGCCCACCTCTGACTGCCCAGCACCCTGTCAGCAAAGCCCAGGCAGTGAGGAGGTGTGGTCCCCTGCGCCCTGTGTTGGTGTGTGCAGCATTGGCAGGGGCGGGCCAGGCCCGAGGCGGGGGTGCCCGACAGGCCCTCTGGTCTTGGGTCAGCTTGTAGACTCTCAGCCCTTTTCATGTCACAACTTGTTGACAAAGCTGTCAGCTTGTGACCACCCCCTGAGGGTTCATTTTCTTCTACTTCCTAAGAAGGAAAGAACGGAAAATTGAATGGAAAACTGTGCAGCCTGGACTGGTGTGTCTCTGTGCTTCTTCTTTACAGCCAGGGCTCCTGCAGCACCCGCCTTTACTCCTTAATATTTTAAATATCGGGGCGGGGGGGATTTTTATAACTAACTTCAAAAAGAAAAAAATTGCATCTTGTGGATTCTGTTCTCTGAAATTTAAAAACATAAGGAAAATGAGAAAATATTTCAGTGTTAGTCAAGCACAGTAAGGCCTTGGTACTTCAGAAGTCAAAAGAGACCTGGTATGTTCCACTTTGGTGAGCTGAGGATCTCTGGGAGGGAGGGAGTGAGAAGCCAGCCATTTCAGAGGAATCCCAGGATGTGAGTGAGGAGGAGGGTCAGCTCTCCAGCTGACCGTAGGGCACTCTCTTTATACCTCCAGTAGCTGACGGGGACTGTGCAGCCTGGACTGGTGTGGTCTCTGTGCTTCTTCACAGCCACGGCTCTTGGCGGCAAGTGGTAAGCTCGTCTTACTGCGTGCTGTCCAGTAGTTTAAACCACACTTGCCTGGTTCTTTGCATCATGTCAAATTTCTAAATCAGTTGAAGGAGACATAAAAATCTATGACCCTGGAGCATCCACCTGAGCCCATCCCCGTGGTTCGGCCTGTGGTCTCCTCACTGCTGTATCTGTCTGGGGCCTTCAGGGCCTCCGTGCCTCCTGCAGACAGGGCCCCTGGCTCAGGAACAGATGTTTCCCATATGAGTGAGGTCAGGGAATCGTGGGTCTGGCTCTCATGTCCAGGGCCAGGCCTGGCTTCCCCAGAGACCTGTCAAAAAGTAACACCTCTTGCTCTGTGACAGTGGACAGCTCTCCTGGCATGAGCTTTGAGTTTACTCACTCAGACTCCGCCATTCCTGTCCTTGGCTTGGTCTTGACCCAACTAGGGTGCTCACTATGGGGAATGCATGTTTTTCTACCATATTATGATTCACAGAATCAGCTGCGACTCATTTCTAAGAGCTGAAGGTCAAGGTCTAGACGACATGCCTCTGAGATAACTGGGCAGATTACTCCTCTTGGTACACATTGTTGAACTCTTTCTCTACCAAGAAATAGCTCCTGGGGACTCCCTGTTGGGCTCCCTGTGCCTGGGTGTTGTGGAAGACCTTGCTGTACCCTGACCCTGGCGTAGTTCCTGCCCTTCCCTTATCCACTGAGAACAGCGTGCTGCTGAACTTTATGTTTCTATACTTAACCAAAGAAACAAATAGCCCAGGGTAAATTCTATTTTGTAAGATTATTTTTAAAATCAGCCATACCTCCTGCTAGGTCAAATGGTACACACCTGTAATCCCAGTGACTCAGGAGGCTAAGGCAGGAGGATTGCAAGTTCCATGCCAGCCTCAGCAACTTAGTGAGACCTTGTCTCAAAACAAAAATAACAAAAAAGGCTGTGGGTGTGGCTCAATCCCAGGACCCCCCAATAGTTGTGCCTTGTTATGTCTGCACTTCTTCTGTAGGCCACCTTTCATGTCTTTAACTTGACTCTTGTAAATTCTTGACAGAGGTGGAACGTTTGACTGACACTCATGAATAGTTTACCACTTGAATTCACTCACCAAGCTCTTAGATGCTAATGCAGTTTGTGAGCAAATGTACATTCAGATCAAAAGTCTCTCCGAGTAGAGAGCTTTGCTCCTCTGAGCTACATTTTTATGTGTGGCTGGGATCCGAGCTGTATGTGGGAGCTAATTTAAGCCATGATTGCCTTTGTAGTCCTCCCTGCCCCTAATGTTCCTGAACCAAAGACAACCTCTGTGATCAGAGAGGAGGTGAGCTAGGCAGGTTCACGCTGTTCAGCAGCCCATGCAGTACCGCACAGATGAATGCCAGAGATCCATCAAACTTGTCTGCTTGCACATTACTGTCATTTGTTTAAGTGAGAAAACTTGCTTTTATTATCATAAAAAGTTTCCTATAATTTGCAGAAAAAAGGAATGTTACAATAGAGAAGAAAGTAATAGGGGAATATGTCACGTAGCTTTTTTTTTTTTTTACCCTTTAGCAGTGTGATATCTAATTAATGATCTAATTTGTTAGCTTTTCCACTGCTGCAACCAAAAGACCTGACAAGGAAAAGTTCTTTGGCTCAGAGTTGCAGAGGTCTAAGTCCATAGAGGGCCGGATCCATATTCTGGGCCCTCATGGTAGGAGGTGGTGGAGAAGGAGGGCAGGACAGGGCATGGAAATCAGGAAACAGAGAAAGAGAGAGCTCTGCTCACCAGGGTCGAACTCTACACCCAATGGCAAGCCCCAGTGACCAGCTCCTCCAGACACACCCACCTGCCTATAGCCCGCACCTGGTAACACCTCTCAGGGGATTATGCACTGATTGGGGTCAGACTCTCAAACTCAGGTGTTTCACCCCCAAGCCTTCCTGAACGATCTCACAGGAGCTTTGGGGTCCCCTCATCTAAACCAGAATACCTGCTGGCTTACATGTCTCCCCCTCTCAGCAGCGTGATTGAATTAATGGCCTGTTTCTGCTGCAGAGCCCCTCTCGGCTGTTTGTGGTCTGAGATTGTTGCACCATCGGCAGAAGCGCATCATTGGTGGAAAAAATTCTTTAAGGTAAAAGGTTCTTCAAAGGAGATTCTCCACATTATAGAGTGCAACTTGTGTTCTTCTGCTGTTACATGGGAATTGTTCTATGCATTTTATTTTCTAAACTAAGTACTCTTATACTGTTAACTGCCCTGTCCTTTACCTACATTTGATTGATACAGACCATGTTCTTACATCATTATCCTATGATTTATGTCATAGATGTGTTGCTGAAAAGTGGCATGATAGAAACAAAATAATGTAACAGAGACCTGGGAACAATGTGGAATGCATTTGATTTAGAATAATGTATCTGATTTGGCTCGTTTCATTGTAAATCTTTGGTTGCTGAGTGCAGGCCAGCACTGTGTTGACTAAATAGGTCTTCAGCCTGCTTGGGTTAGGTGGGTGGGGAGAGGACTGTGCTCACACCCCATTGTCCCAGAATGCTGGGTGGCACCTACTACCTGCCTTTGGCACCTCCCCAGGGCTGCTGCTATTTGGAAACCTTCTCCAGGTAGGAGGCAGCTGGCCTCCTGAGTCTCTTTGGAGTCTGCTTCCTCACACCACAGGCCATCAGAGCCATCACTTTGAGGCTTTTCTTTGGATCTTTTGTCTTTTATGCGCATGTGGCTCCCTCTGTTTCAGGGGTGGCTGGCCCTGGCAGGTTTCCCTCCGGCTGAAGTCACCCCATGGAGGTGGCAGGCTCCTGTGCGGGGCAACGCTTCTCAGCAGCTGCTGGGTCCTGACGGCAGCTCACTGCTTCAAGAGGTATGTGTCCATCCTTGCCAGCACCCTCCTGCTTTGGGACCTGGGTGTCAGAGCTGGGCTGTGAGCCTTCTCTGATGGATGCTTCTTCAGCTTGCGGGAGTGAGGGGTGACAGAAGGAGCACCTTGCAGGCTCATGTTACATGAGATCTGGGTCTGGGGAGAAGAGATCATGGGCTTGGCCAGGGAGGCAGCTGTGGCGATGCTTTCCTGAGGTGAATCACAGCTGGTAGATATAAAAGCTGCTTTGTCAATAAAGACACTAAGGAGCAGGCGTGCGGTTCTGGCAGCTTAGACGCTGTTTTCTTCTTGCCAGACCAAACACTCCGCCTTATTCAAGGCTGAGAGAGGATGCTCAGCTGTGGGCAGGCGGCCTCCTCATTGAGTGGCTTCTGTCTTCTTGGTGGTTTGTCTGAGAGTTCTCTGTGTGTACCATCTAGAAAGGCAGGTTGCTTCCATTTTATCCTTGGCTTTCATGCTGGTTTAGTCCTGATTATTTCCTCTTATTTCCAATACTTCATTAGTCAATCCTATCTTCCTGGTTCCAAGGGGAGACCCTGCAGGAAGCCTGCAGGAGGACTGACTCCTCTCCCCTCATCCAGGGCTCTTTGTGGGCTCTAGAGGGTGGCCATTGCCTCAGCATGAACTTTGGGGTGTATTTAAAATACACACTAAACCTGGCAAAACGTGATCACTGAAGCAAGGTGATGTCAATGAGGTGTTTGGTTATACTCTTAACTTTGTGTGTTGGAAAAGTGTCATAATAAAAATCTTCAAAAGAATATGCATTGTATGGTTGATGATTTCTTCCAAGCAAAATTTTGCTTTACATTTTTTTTTTCTTTCACACTGGGGATTGAACCCAGGGGCGCTTACCCACTGAACCCCCCAGCCCTTTTTATTTATCTATTTTTAAATTTTTGAGACAGGGTCTTGCTGAGTTGCTTAAGGCCTCAAAAAATTGCTGAGGCTGGCTTTGAATTTGCAATCCTCCTGCCTCTGCCTCCAGAGCTTCAGGGACTGCAGGTGTGTTCCACTGTGCCCAGCTTACATTCTTTTTCTCACATGCCCTCATAAGGCATGTACCTTTGCAGACTACTGTGTAGATTTTGTTCATTCACTTCAGCTGCCATATGAACTTTCACTTCTGCTGTAAAACTTATCCAGTTTATTGAATCCCCTATGGATGGATAGTTAGGTGATTCCCATTGATTGACTGCTAAAGCACCATTCAGTAGAATACGCAGTATGCTGTGTCTCACCAGGGCGCGCGTGTGGGAGCCTCGTGCTGGGTCCTGAGGTGCCAGGCTCCCTTCAGTTCAGTGAGGCCCTGCCAGGTGTCCTCAAGAGAAACTGGATTCATTCACGACACAGCACTGTGGAAGGTTCTGCCTGATCTTTCCGCTTGAACCTGATACTACCAGAAATTTTAATTTTTGCTAATTTTAGAGATTTGGAGTTTCTTTTAAATTGCATTTCCCTGATTATTGTTTCCCTCTTTCATGAACTCTACTGTTCATGTCCTTTGCCAATTTTCTATTGTATTATCTTTTTTTGTAGTTGACTTAAACATTATTCTGCATATAAAGTCATTTCTGATATGTCCAGAACTTTTCCCAGTCTGGACTATCCCTTTTACTTGTTTATGGTTCTTTTCTTATGAAAATATGTCAATTTTTAAAAAGTCTCATTTTCCTTTAAAGTTTGTAAAAGCTTTACATATCTCATTTTAAAAATCTTTCCCTAGACTCACATTAATAAAGATATTTTTACTTTTTTCTAAAAAATTTATAGTTTTGGGCTGACGTTGTGGCTCAGCAGTAGAGTGCTGGCGCAGCACGTGTTGGGGCCCTGGGTTCAATCCTCAGCACCACATAAAAATAAATAAACAAAATAGGGTATTTGTCCATCATGACTAAAAAAAATTAAAGAATTTATAGTTTTGCTTTTAATATTTAGACTTTCAATCTGTTAAGTTTATTTTTGTGTATGGCATGTGGTGTGAGGAAGGGGCCAACTTTCACATTCTTCTTTGTGGATAGTCTTCCCAACACTTCTTTTTTTTTGAATGTTCCATTGTTTACCCACTAGTTTATGTGAACTATGTCATATATCAAATTCTCATATATTCTTGTTTCTAGGATCTCTAGTCACTTCCACTTATCTGTTTCAATAAATATTTTTGAAGTAATCTATTCAAGGTGTTGCCAAAAATATAAATCTACATTTTATATCATATTTGTCTGGGATATAATTGAGTGTGAGAATGCTGCTATATGCCAGTGGGCTTAACGCATTCCTGTGTTACCTGAGTAGCACAGGTAATAAAGATTATATTTGTTCATTAACTTAAACAATTATTGAGCCCCTGAGGCCCAGTAAACGCTGTGCACTCATGGTGCAGTGGAGACTGAGACAGGTAAAGTTCTGCTATCATGGAGTGTATGAAGTGGCTGCAGAGTCCAGAGGAGGGAGACATCTATGTTGCTTATGACCAGCAAGTGCATAGGGCCCACAAGAGTGCTTTTGTCACTGTGTAGTACTATACATTAGACGTCGAGGTTCCTGGGTGCCTACTGCACAGCCACAGGAGCTCTGGGGCTGGCACTTGATCAGTCATCTCTGGTTCCTTTGGGCTCCAAGGCTAAGAACCGCTTGCTCCATTGATAGACTAGAATATGATCTGGACTTTTGGAGGATGGTGATGGGAAGAATGTTATGGAGCTGACGGATGCTGCCTGTTCAGTACCCCAGTTGCTAGACTGAGAAAGGCTCCCTTGGTAAATTAATTATAGTCTGTGTGCCAGAAGGCTGGGAAAGATGAGTGATATAAATGTCTGAAGACAGGCTCACGGTGCTGCAGATTTGCTAGGCCAATTCTAATAAGCAACGTGGAATAAGGATGAGCACAGTGCCTCCTTCAGTTCATGAAGCTTGGCTTAAATACAGCACATGTGGAAGACCTCTGAGCTTTGACGTCCTGCAGCCCTAATACAAGTCAGCAGTGCAGTGAGTTTGCTGCACGATTAACTCAGCCTGGGCAGCACCCTCAGAGCAGTGCTGCCTGGTCTTACCCTGCTCTAGCTGCTGTGAGGACGTCATATCTCGTAAGGGAGAACTGTGCTCAGTGAGGGGTGCTGCATGGTGAATCTTGAAGGACAGGCAGGTACAGAGGGGAGATTTGTAGTTATTTTGTATTTAACACTAGAACAGTTCAAAGATGGAATGAGCTATATATGTGGGAGGAAAATTATTTTGTTATGGGATCTGTTTTAACAAAGAGGCTGGATTTGTGTAGCAGTAGAGGCTGGTGATGGACAATATCCAATGTTAGAGTGTAGTGGTGAGAGACATGAGCTGCAATGGAAGAAGAGCAGAGTTTGGCACTGGTATTGTGAGTTAGGGTATCAGAACTGGGAAGTATGTGGTATGGTATGGTATGGTACTGTTAGCTAGGTTGTCAGACCTGGGATGTATATAGTGACTTAGAAGAGACAAGGGAAAAGACTTAGGATGTTAAGGCTGTAGATTTCTGTTTCATTCACTAGGCCATGGGAGATCACGGTTTTCTGAACCTTGAAATATGATTAAGAGGTGTTTGTGGAGAAGAGTCATTTGGAGATGTGTGAGACAGGTCTCATGTTGGACAGACATCTAAGGGTGTGACAGTGAGCTTGAAATGATATGAAACATCTTTGCAATGCACTTGTATGCCTTTTTATGCAATGACTCAAATTTGTCTGTTTTACCAAGCAGAAGGCCCACTTCAGTAAGAGCACGAAGGACTGCATGTGAGAGTCCAGGTCTGTGTTTATTCCAAAGGAAGAACAGTGATGAGGCTGTTGTAATAGTGAAGATGAAAGGTAGAAAGCAAAGAGGTTATCCATCCGTAGTAGGTGGCTGCACGAGCCCATCCTCTGTGTTGCATCGCTTAGTTCTTTGAACTGGTTCAGTTTAGTAAATCATCCATCAGGAGGCCAGAGCCTAGGTGGGCTACTAGGATGTTTGAGCATCTCACAACCTGGAGGAAAAGGGAGGTTGTATTTTAAATAGGCAGTCACCAGAAAACTCAAAAGCTTCTGAACACACCCTAATCCAGTGCACACTCAAGGAGAGGTCTTGTGAATAGTGGAAGCCTCACAAGCTTCTGTCAAAAATCGAGGTGAGGGTTGTTAAGCGTATACTTTTCTCTGTAAGCATTTGATGTCAGCATCAAGCGTGTGGAGAGTCGATGAAGCCAGGGTTGCAGTGGCCGGCACAAGGAAAGGACTGTCGTCGTGCAGAGGAGTGACTGTGGGGGTGGACAGCAGGGTCCAGGCAGGCAGGGAGGGAGTCACACAGGGCAGCACTGAGGGGAGCCTGAGTGTGCTGCAGACCCGATGCTCAGTGTGCTGTTGGCTGTGGAGCTATAGAGGGAGGGGCAGCGGGTAGATACGGGACTGGACAGAAAGGTTTAGGAAGCAGGTAGAAAGGGGAGCAGCCGGCAGAACGGGTGTGGGGCTGGCAGGAAGGTTTAAGGAGCAGGTGGGGGGAGGGGTAGATGTGAGCTGCAAGGTGCTGGGACTCTCAGTGAGCAAAGCCAGTGCCCAGGGCACCAAGCAGCATCTGAGCAACATCCTGCTCAATGGGGCTTCTTTCACCCCAGGCGACATCTGACAGTATTTGGAGGCTTTTTTCACAGCAGGGAATAGTGGGTATATGCACTGATGGATCTAGGGAATAGGACCAGGGAAGCTTGTAAACACCCCTCGATGCAGTTGCCTTTACCACAAAGAATTATCTGGCCCAAAATGTGAAGTGTTGGCATCGAGAAATCCTGCTTTAGGTTGATGTGTCAGAATCAAGGTATGTTGATTAAAAAACAGGCTTGATAGTTTTCAATTTAGTGAATTTTGTGTTTCTATTTGAATCAAAGAGCTTTATGGGGAGGCAGCTAGCACCTCATTAGAGGGCTCTTCTCCCTGCTCAGGAGGATGTAAGCCATCTAAGAAATTAAAGTCTAGGATAATTCATAAAGAACAAAGACACAGAGTCAGAAAAAATAGTTTTAAAGGATGGAACCCCTGGTAGGTCCAATCCACACAGGAGCTGGAGGTAGACAACTAGAAAATGGCTCCTGTGGTTTATTTAAGGGGGTACATCAAAGGCAGGGATAAGGTTTCAGAAGTGGAGTCTTGCTTCTGATGTCTTGCCCTCAGCAGGTTGATTGGCATCTTGGCAGATCACACCCATCTCTGAGAGGCTGTGTGGCCAGGTGGTTGTAGCAGGTCACCCTTTCTTGGGTGCTGTGTGGGACTAGGCAGAGTGGAATAGAAATTTACATGTATTTGCGCAATCTCACTCTGTAGGACTCCATGGGAGTTCCGTGTTCCCGAACACCAGCCCATGGATGGCTCTTGACATAGCTTCTCATGGAATAAAGAATGCCCACACCAAAGGTGAACATCCGTCCATTCACAGAATCACCAAACAAGTTGCATTCCTCATTAAGGAGGCATTGATGTTCCAGATGTTTAAGATTTTTCAGTGAATGCCACAGATAAAGATTTCTGACCTGCAATAACTGTTACTTAAGGAAAGATAGAGAATAATAAATATTTTAGAAAATTATTTATTTATGCTGATTTATTATACATGATGGTAGAATGCATTTCAATTCATAGAACACATATAGAACACAGTTTTTTCACATCTCTGGTCGTATAAAGTAGAGTCACACCATTCATGTACTTGGGGTAATGATGTTCATCTCATTCTACCATCCTTCCTACCCCCATGTCTTCCCCTTCCTCCCCCTTTGCCCTATATAAAGTTCCTTCATCCCTCCCATGCTCCCTCACTACACCCATTATGGTTCAGCATCCACATATCAGAGAAAACATTTGGCCTTTGGTGTTTTGGGATTGGCTAACTTAGCATGATATTCTCCAACTCCATCCATTTACCTGCAAAAGTCATGGTTTTATTCTGTTTTAATGCTGAATAATATTCCATTGTGTATATATACCACAGTTTATTTATCCATTCATCTACTGAAGGGCATCTAGGTTGCTTCCACAGTTTAACTATTGTGAATTGTGCTGCTATAAACATTGATATGGCTGTGTCCCTGTAGTATGCTGTTTTTAAGTCCTTTGGATATAGACAGAGGAGTGGGATAGCTGGGTCAAATGGTGGTTCCATTACAAGTTTTCTAAGGAATATACTGCTTTGCATATTGGCTGCACCAATTTGCAGTCCCACCAGCAATGTATGAGTGTGCCTTTTCCCCCACATCCTCTCCGACACTTTATTGTTGTTTGTATTCTTTTTTTTTTAATATTTATTTTTTAGTTTTCGGCGGACACAACATCTTTGTTTGTATGTGGTGCTGAGGATCGAACCCGGGCCGCACACATGCCAGGCGAGCGCGCTACCGCTTGAGCCACATCCCTAGCCTGTTTGTATTCTTAATAGCTGCCACTGTGACTGGAGTGAGAAGAAATCTTAGAGTTAGTTTCGATTTGTATTTCTCTAATTGCTAGAGATGTTGAATATTTTCATTTTATTTTTTTGGTGTTAAGTTTTTTGAGTTCTTTATATAACCTAGAGATTAGTGCTCTATCTAATGTGCGTGTGGTAAAATAGACTTGTAGATGAAAGAAATTAAAGGGATACGGATAGGGATTCCCTATGGTTCAACATTCAGAAATCAATAAATGTAATTCATCACATCAATAGACTTAAAGATAAGAATCATATGATCATCTCAATAGATGCAGAAAAAACATTCAACAAAATACAACACCCATTCATGTTCAAGACTAGAAAAACTAGGAATAACAGGAACATATTTAAACATTGTAAAAGTTGTCTATGCTAAGCCCCAGGCCAACATCACTCTAAATGGAGAAAAATTGAAAGCATTCCCTCTAAAAACTGGAATAAGACAGAGAACAATAAATATAATAAACAGTGAACTACATAGTCTGTCAGAAAGGAAATGGGGAGCCAATTAGGTATACTGTAGTTCAGGGAGTGTGCGGACAAACGTGGGTTGCAGTTTAACATGAGTGTGTCAGGAGGCTTCACTGAGGTGATGTCTCAGTAAAGAAGCTGAGAACATAATGAATGCACCTTGACCTGAAAACACAGGAAAGGCAGTGAACTTATTCTCTTAGTCCTCACTAGGAGTAGGTGGGTGGCACCAAGAGCTCTGAGGGATATCAAGTTAGGTCATGTGTGTTTCTGCTCTATGGAGTTTCAGGATAAACTAAAGATCCTGCAGGGACAGAAGACAAAGGCGGCAAATGCAGGACAATAATTCTGCCCTGTACTCTTCATTTCTGTTTTGTTGATGTTTGGTCTGCATTTCCCACTCATTCTCCACATTTGCTTATTCTCAGAAAATGAGTTACTTGGTGGTAATCTAGATTTCAGGTGAAATGAAGACGGGAGGTGGTGACAGAGAGGGTCAGCAGCAGTGGGTTAAAGGAATGAAAGGAAATGTTGAATTCACAAAAGGGGCTGATGATTTGGAACTGAATTTTACACAACTCCGCTGGCAGTTTTCATGCTGAAAACCAGCTGCTCATTAGCTCTGTCTCTCAGGTATGGCAACAGCTCCAGGAACTATGCTGTTCGGGTTGGGGATTATCATACTCTGGTGCTGGAAGAGTTTGAAGAAGAAATTGGAGTGCAGCAAGTTGTGATGCATCAGCAGTACCGACCAGACAGCAGTGACCATGACATCGCCCTGGTCAGACTGCAAGGACCAGAGGAGCAGTGTGCCAGACTCAGCAGCCATGTTCTGCCAGCCTGTTTGCCACTGCAGAGAGAGCGGCCACAGAAGACAGCCTCCAACTGCTACATAACAGGCTGGGGAGACACAGGTAATATAAGCTCACCGAGAAACAGACAAGAAGGCTGGGCTCGTCTGCTGTTATCCAGTCGGCAGGAAGATCGTAAATGGGTTCAGGCTTAGCTGCTTGGAAATTCTTAGGCGTGAAATGTTTGCATGTAATCTAGATGCATTTTTAAGAGTACTGTTAGTTCCAGTTAGAATTCAAACTGAGAGAACTCAGTTGCTAGTGGGCCTTAGGAGTGGAGAATATCCTTATCTGACTGGAGAGAGGACAAGGGAAGAGATTTCAATACCATACCCCACGATTTAGGCCACATAGTCTATTTTAAAAAGCTCCCCATATGACAATGATGTATTTGGCCTAGCAAAAGGATCTGGTGTTAAATAGTTTCTTTATCAAGCTAAGTATAGATCGGACAAAAGTTGAGGTGCCAAGTGGAGGCTGAGATTAAGGGAAATACACTTTCTCCCTCATCCTTCTTTCCCATTCTCCTCACTTGCAACCACAAAGCAAGAATCGTGTTCAGCTGGATCCTTCTATGAATATAGCCCTTGGCCTTGTCTTGCCTAGAGTTTAGGCACTGTCAGCTAGTGCTTGCTCAGGATAGGCCTTGAAACAGACATCAGTCTCACTAGGGTCAAGATACAGGCCTTCCTAATGTACTGTGCTCATCTCTAAGCACATCACATCACTGAGGACCAGGTCCATTACTTCATAAGGGAATCAGTCCTTTGATATCACATCTGAATTAATAGAAATGACCAAGGAAGTAAATTTTATATAGTGGGTTTTTTTTTTTTTGTGTGTGTGTGTGTATGTGTCCTAGTTATTCCAATTTAGTTAACTGGATAAGAGAATATGAGGAAATCTATATTCAAACTAGGATAACAACGAGGACATTATCTATCATACATTTAAGCTACTGAGCAAAGTAATGAATGGTTTACCAACAAGCAGAGTGCACTGCACCAGGTGTCAACTATGTATGGAGAAGGATGTGTGGTATTTTAGCTGAGTCATCCTTATACAATGCCATATTCCCATTTAGCACCTTATATTTTATATTATTGCATTTATATTTAATCCTCAAATTCAGTGACGTAGGTGATTCTCAAATGTGCCAAAGCAAAATCAGCATGAATTTAGCTTTTTATTGTACAGAATTCAACAACTAAAGCCCACATGAATGTGCTTTCTCCAGGTTACCTTTCTCTGCTACCAAACTCAGAAACGTTACTCATTATTCCTAAAAAATTCAGTATGTGTGAAGGTTAAGTGCTGACAATCAGAAAGGCCTCTAATGACATTACATGCCACTTATAGTTATCACTCACTTTGAACTATACCAATGTCACAACAGGGGTTTGTTTTGGAGACTGAAATGTTCATTAAACTTGATTGGTAGCTGGATCTCCTTGATTAATATGGATATTTGGTCTGAGTAGGACGAGCCTATTCAAGGACACTACAACAAGCAGCCATCCCTGTACTTCCCAAGAGGTTTTGTGAAGAACGGTATAAGGGTCGGTTTACAGGGAGAATGCTCTGTGCTGGAAACCTCCAGGAACACAGACGTGTGGACAGCTGCCAGGGAGACAGCGGGGGACCACTCATGTGCAAGAGGCCTGGAGAAAGCTGGGTTGTGTATGGGGTGACTTCCTGGGGGTATGGCTGTGGAGTCAAGGGCTCCCCTGGTGTTTACACCAAAGTCTCAGCCTTTGTACCTTGGATAAAAAGCATCACTAAACTGTGATTCTGGAAACCTCAGAACAAATAGTATTAAAAGGAACTTATGAAAAACTTTTAACCTCAACCTTTACCTGTAAACCAGATGACAACTGTGAGGGTTTCATGTTCCTTGATATTTGTTTATAGAAATTGTGTACCTTTGCTGATTTTGAGACTTTGTGAAGTTTTGGTTCAGATACCTCAGTGTTATCTTTAGCATTGTTACCTACCCAAATTTTACCGAAGTAAACTTTCTCTTACCTTTTTTTGGTAGCAGGTACTTAACCCAGGGATGCTTAACCACTGAGCCACATCCCTAGCCCTTGAGGCTGGCCTTAAACTTGGCATCCTCCTGCCTCAGCCTCTGTGATTACAGACATGTGTCACCACACCAGTGAGTAACTCTTGTTACTCAGTGAGCAACTCTTAACATTCTCTAGATTATTTTCATTAAAGATGTTTTACATTTGCCTGGACTAAGTCCTTATGAGTCAGCATAATGTATGGAATCAAATTTAAGTACCCACATTTGATCTTAAAGGTACCCTTTACTAGAATGTCCAATGAAGTGATCTGCTACAAAGATACTTTATCTTTGTTAAGAACCAAGCAACAAACACAAGAGGAAAAATGTTCTATATGTAAGCTACTAGCAAATTATGAATTTTGGATAACATGAAAAATACTAGTTGAATATACAACTGATTTACTGGATATGTTAACTCACTCGAACAACCTTTAACAACCACATCAGATCTGTAACTTAGTAAATTGTTTCTCAGCATTAGGCTCAAAGTTTTCTGGATTGTGTTGGAAGAGTGCCACCTACTGGAACTTCCCCAATAATTGGCTTCACCTGTGGGTTTCAAAATTCTGGTACAGTGCAACCTATTAAAAATACACCAATAAAAATGCTTTTCCTACCTATTGTGCTATTAAAAACCTACTTCAATCACACTGCAATTAGTGGCTATACAATAGCTTAAAGACCAATAAGATTTTACAGAGGTCCTCATTTTCATATGAGGAAAACAGGCTGCTGCTAAGATGAACTAGTTGATATGCACTTTGATAAATTCAAAGTGCAAAAATAAAATAAAATCCAGTGCTGCTTTTATCTCAACTAAAGGCAAGTTTCCTGCTAGCTTTCCTGGAGGGTGAGACAGATGTAATGTCCTTATAGGACATTCTTATTAACACCAAATCTTTGCCTACACATAGATATTTCCCTTCTGCAATCAAATCATATGCCCCCTTTTGCAAAAAGGGATGCAAACCTACAGGTACTTAACAACTTTCTAAAAGGTGGTTGGTTTTAAAAACAAAACTTGTACTCGTGAACCATTAAAATGCACAAAACACCCAGGAGCAATTCCAACTCCCGAGCCACATGCCCATCTGCAAACATTACATTAGGGCAATGCCCAGTGCCCTGGCTCCACTTCCAGTCCAGTCTCCAGCACTCTACACAATCAGGTGTCATCTCTGCCTCTCTGGAAGTGGCCCACATTCTACCCTGAATGTTTTCCTAAATAGACCTGTCAGCCTGACTGGCACATTCTGAAACTCTTTACATCTGCTATGCCAAGAATCCCACTGCTTAAGATTCCCCCTCTCTCCAGGACCTTTCTTCAGGGCTAGTTCTTCTGTGATTAACTATACATGGCACACCTTGCACAAAGGCTTAGGACAATGTGCATTACAGCCCAGAAAGTAACCCAATCCTGTAGCGAACCTTTTTAACCACATGCCCTTTGCAAGTAACCTACAATGATTGTGCAAGAAGTTTTAAACAGACAAGGAAACCATAAATTTAGAGCAGTGAACACATGGCCTGCAGTTTGCCCAATTCTGAAGTAGAACCCATGCTGATTTTTTCTTAGGAGAGACTAGCCACAACTCCAACCCCTAAGAAGGATTTTTTTAAAAAAAGTTTTGAGTATTCAGTAAATAAAGCACAAAACATGTACAGTTACCTAAATCTTTTGTGTGATACAAGACACTGACCTCTCTCTTGGGGGTAATCTGGTAATGTTTATGTACAAATTTCCCCCAAACGCTATACCCAGTCTCTGCACAGTAAACAAAGTATTCTATCTCTTCACTGTTATTCAATTCAGTCAAGTAACAGCAAGTAGTCATGTGAACCATTTTATTCAATCATACCAAGGATGCATCTGAAATACAAATTCAAAATAATTCAAGCTCATATTATAAATAGTGCCCTGATAGTTTCCAGAATGTTACTCAAAATACCCATTCCCCAACTAAAATTTAAGTTCGGTGATCCACTGCAAGATGCTGCTTAGGCCTTTACCCACCGTCACTTTGGATTTCTTGACGTCTGCAAGAAAAGAAAACCAGCATTGTAGCAATGAGACAGCAATTCAGGTATTCCTAGTTACTCTCAACGTTATAAAAGGCCAGCAGAACGAGCAAACTTTAGCTTTTCAGCAGCCGCGATAAAGGGTTTCAGATTAACTCGGAAATTCTATAAATGTGAAAGTACCTTGTCACGGTTTCTGCCGCTCATCAGCAGGGCGCCGTTTCCTGCAGGATTTGAACAATGCTTCAGCGAAGCCTGCCTAACAACCCGTCGTCCTCCCGCTTTCTAGTGAAGAATGTCACTTGTGCAAGTCAGAATCTGATACCAATTAAATGGTGACAGCTTTGCCAATAAACAAGAATATGCTCTTCCATGGCTAGGAAGGGAGACTGCCACGGCCGACAGGTCCCAAAGACACATGGAGGTTCGGCGCAGGCCCGCCAGCAGCACCCACCCCAGGCCCTCCGCCGCCGCCTCGCGACTCCCCCACACGCCTCCGCAGACGCGATCCCCCAGCACTCCCACCTCGGCACGAGCTGTGGCCAGTTACGAGCTGGGCGACCAGGACGAGGACGGTACAGCACCCCAGACGACGCCCGACGCAAAAGGGCGAAACTCGCCGCGCACGCGCTCTTATGGAGTCGTGACGCGCCGGAAGTGCCACGGGGGCGGGAGGATGGCCGGATCCCGGTTCCCGTGCGTGCCCGAGAGCAGACGGTTGTCGCGAGACTGTGAAATCCTATCGCGGCTTGCGGTCAGAGAAGGGCCATCGCCGGGTCCAGGCTTATGCGCATGCGCGAGACCAAGACATTCTCGCGATACCATGAAATCCCGCCGCTGAGGAGCGCGGGCTCACCGAATCAAGTGGGGCGAAGGTTTACCGCAGGTGGTTGGTTTAGGAGTCACCTTTGGCCCCAGGATGTCTTATGTGAGGCTAGCTTGCTTTTCGAGGTCCTCTTGTGCGTTTTCCACCACTCTTGCCTCCGCTGGAGTCGCCGTTTCTGGAGCGCCAGCGTCTGGCCCGCGTCCACCCGTCTGTCCCCGGTGGGCGCCCAGCGTCAGGGTGGGAGTTAGCAGAGCTGAGGCCTCCCGCAACCGAGGCGCCGTGAAGACCTGCCCGCCCCCAGCCTGATGGTGGGACCAAGTCAGAAAGGTCCCAGGCACGTGGCTCCGGGCGACGGGCGGGAGTTCCCTGGAGGCTGCGGAAGGGCGCGCTTAGGGCAGGGACTGGCCCGGGGGAGCGGGGCAGCGGCCCCTGCTGCACTCCAGCTTGCCCGGGCACCCCGGGGAGTTGCCGGAGAGCCCGCCAGGCCCGCCTCTCCCGCTGGCCGACGGCAGGCCGCGCTCGGTCCTGGCCGCCTGGGCACCCTGGCCCTGCTGCCGGCTCTGAGCGGACGGCGCTTGCCCGGTTTTGGCTAGAGTTGTCCTTACTCCCTCTGAGCTTGGGGTGGGGCCTGTGCAGTCTCCCACTTCAGGGTAATTGGACGTGTCCAGTAGGCACACGGGCTGCAGGTCACCTGCTTCTTGGAAAAGAAGCACAGCGGGCCCATTTTGTAGATTTATTCCCTTAAATTCTTGTTCTCACCTGTCTGTCACGTATCAGAAGGAGAAAGAGGTATGCAGTGCCCAGAGTCCATCCGTCTGCTGTCTGTCCCTTGTGTGACACCACCCCCAGGTTGGCAGCGCAGGCAGGAAGCCGCCCCCTGTGCCCTTTGCTCTGAGAAGGTTGGGGATCTCAGCATAGGTGGGGCGCAGAGAAAGGGTCATCAGCCTGGGACCACTGTTGTACTGGATGTGAGCTTACCGAATTGTACTATTTTCCATCTTATTTTTCTCTGACAGAAAGCACAAAAGAGGATCATTTGAGGCAGCACATGGCAGCACTGGCTGGCAGGGAAAAGGGTTCAATAACTAGGAGAGTCCCCTAGCGATCTGCAGAAACTTCCATGCGGTCCCTGCCTTACCATGTGGGGAAAGAATTCAGTCAGCCAAAACTGCTTTTAAAGTAAGGGTCAGAATAGACAAATTTAGCTAAATTTTACCTTGAATGCACTGCCTATAAGGTTCACTGCATTTCACCCTTACTTTCTCTGACTTCATCTTCACTCACCTCATCTTGCTAATGAGCTGAAAGAACTCTTCAATAACAAGGCTTAAATACTGCATCGAAATGAATGCTGCACTTTGCAAGTTTTGCTAGATTTCATCTTATTTAGATTCCAAATAACAATTCACATGAGTTTGCTAGGGTTTTCCTAATAAAGTACCACAGAATGGGGGTTTAAAGGACCAAAACTTAGGAGGATGCTGGGAGCCCAAGACCAGGTTTCCATGTTTCTCCTGAGGCCTCTGTCCCTGGCACATAGATGTAGTCTTCTCCCCCTGTCTTCAGATGGTTTTCTTTTTGTGTCTCTCTGCTTGAGTCAACTTTTCTTAAAAACCACTGGTCATATTTGATGAGGGCCCACACTAATGGTGTCATCGACCCTTAATTACCTCTTTAGGACCTTGTCTTTAAACACAGTCATATTCAGAGGTAGTAGGAGGTTAGGATTTCAAAATAGGGGTTTTGGAGAGCCTGATTAGCCATAACATTATACATTTGTGATAAACCATAAAGTTCTTAACTGAATATTTTAAGTGAATGTTTCCCTTGGGTCAGGTGTCCATATATGTGCATGTATGGCACACGTCCAGACTTTGGACTAAAGCTTATGTTTTGTCTGAAATTGAACTTTAAAAAATCTGCCCTTTTCTACCCCCATATTTTGAATATGCTAATTTCTCCATCTTCTGTGCCTTTCTGTCTATTCTCATCTGTCCAGATTCTGTTCTACTTTTAGTGCTTTGCCCAAAGATTGCTTTTCTTTGAAAATATTCACTATTCCACATGAATTTATTTTTTACTTTTTTGGTATATGGTAGCACTTGCATTTTCTTGTATGTTTACCATGAACTTGTTGTGGTGCTTAGCATATACATATATGAAATTTTTAAAAAATTACTTTTCATCTTGAAAAATAAATCATTTTTACCTAGAAGGTGGAATTTAATCCCC